GAGTTCGAGACCAGCCTGGGCTACAAAGTGCGCTCAAGGCCAGCCTAAACTGCACAGGGAGACCCTGTCTCAAAAAAAAAAAAAAAAAAGAAGATCCAATGAGAGTACTAATGGGGATACCAGACTGGGAAGGAGTGGACTAGTATCTCCTTGCACTCACACTTCTGTTTCAAATTTCGGAAATGGACAATTCAGAGAAGCACAGATCAATAAAATTATCACTATACGGATGAGGGAAATTAAAGTTAATTCAAGTAAATGTTAATTCCTCTCCCGGGACCTCTTTCCAATGAGTTAAAAAGAGTCACACTGAGAATCTATTTTCAGAGACCTCTTTTTCTTTGACAGTTGCTGATTGGCCAGGAACCCTCATCACACCCATGTGTGGTCACCACTGAAGCATTCAAAGCTGCTGCGCCTTTCTCTGATTTGGATAAACTAGAAAAGGACATAGAAAGTATGATAAAAGTTGTGGAAAAACACCTGGAACACAGTGATGGCAATGAAGAGGTTTGTCCAAGGAGATTTTCAAAAACTACAGTGTTCTCAGTTTTCTTTTTGTTTAATTATATTTTTGTGTCAACACTGTTTACTCGTATAACCTTTCAAGCATAACTGAAGACACTCAAAGGTGATTTTCTGAGTGTCAGTGACAGATTTTCTAAGTGATTTATGTTACCCTTGAACACACACACATACACAAACACACGCAGAACCCGTGCTTTCTAACAGTTCTTCTTCAGCTAACTTGGGCTTAACTTGCTTTGAGATATTTCAACTTCAAAAATAAAGTATTTGAAGAGAACTATGAATTGTTTCGCCGTTCAGATTCACATCTCCTGACTTAACCTTGCGCTTCATGGGTTAGTTTTCCTATTTGGCAGCCTATACTAGTGACTCTGTGCTCATTGTTTGACTAACATTTTTCTTTTCTACGTTCAGGTGGATGAGGAGAGAGCCCAGGTCGAGGAAGTGCTACAAAGAGGAGAAGAAATGCTACACCAGCCTATGGAGGAGAATAAGAAAGAAAAGATCCGTTTGCAGTTGTTGCTGTTGCACACAAGATACCACAAAATTAAGGTACGTTGATGAGGAATCTCTGCTGCATTTAAATGAATTATCTCGTGCTTTTAGAAGTTCGATGTTCTGTTTGTGGGCAGCTTAAACTAAACCAGCTGAGATATTATCGCCCCATTCCTAATGTGTTTTACGTTTTTGGATATGATAGAATTCAAAGAAATAGTAATATACATATACTATTATTATATGTATACTATACATATATACTATATTAATACCATTATACATATACTTGATTAATACTATTACTATAGTAATTTCTGATCCTATATAAAACCTAGAAGAAATTTATCCCTTTCAGATGTGACTTCCTTCAGTTTTATTTTTCATATGTGGAGGTCTTGGCCATCTCACTAAAATTTCTAGTTCACAAACAACTACATTCTTGAGGCTGATACATGCACTATTTATATTCCAGAATAGGATTCATTATAAGACCCCTTTTAAATGGGGATCTTCTTGACTGTATCCCCCCAACTATCTGCGATGCTGGGGATGGGACCCAGGGCCTTCCACATGCCAAGCAAGTGCTCTACCATTGAGCTACATCCTGGCCCTTTTCATATTGTTTTGAAACAAGGTCTTGCTAAGTTTCCCAGGCTGGCTTTAAATTTGCAATCTTCCTGCCTCAGCTTCCCAGGTAGTTGGGATGATAAGTGTGTGCCCCTGTGCCCATCTTCCTAGCTGTGTTGTAAGTGGTGCTGGTATTGTCCAGGGGTCTGTCCTTTGGTAGTGCCTTGTAGAACCAGTTTTATTTAATTGTTTTGGAGTTTGAGATTGCAGTGTTTTTACTGCCTATTGGATGCCTCCAACCACGTGCAGTGCACCTTTCTAATGTGTTCAAACTGGACCTGCTGTCTCCTTCCCTGCAATCTGTTTCCTACCTTATGTCCTGTCTTCATTAAATACCTTAAAAATTAGCCAGTGTCTCCAAAAGAAGCTTCAACTTCATTCTCTCCTTTTGTTGTACCTCCCATGCCTTGTTCCTTGTACCAAGTCATGCAGGAACTAAAACCTTCAGGCTAAGTGAAGCAAGATATATGTGTGAGCTTGAAGTTAGACATTATTCTGCCAGTGGCTTGTGTGTTAGTTACTTTTCTCTTGTTGCCGAGACAAAATACCTGACACCCAAAGCTAAGAGAGGAAAGGTTTATTTAGCTCACAGTTCATGGAGGTTGCAGTTCATAATCATCTGGCTCCAAGGCAGGGTGGCAGGGCTGAGAGGCAGCCATTCATGGTGGCAGAAGACAGCAAAAGCAACAAGAGCAAAAGGGGGACAGAGCAAGCCTCTTTTCCCCTCTTCTAGTGTATGCAGGCTACCTGCCCTAGGACAGGTGTAACACTCACATCAGTAATCCCAGAGATAGGCAATGAACCAATCACAAGCTAGATTCAGCTGCTTCCATAAAGCCAGCACAAGTGACTGCATGAGACTTTTGGGGGACATTCAGGCACAAACCATAACAGCTTGTTACAGCAACTTGGAAATGTAACTTGACTTCTCTTAATTCATGGTAGTTCCCATAATTCAGACTTACAGTGTTCTATTAGTCTTTGCAATTGTTACCAAATAATTTTCTTATGTCCAGTTTTTTTTTTTTCTATGGCATTTCCTTCACATGCTCCTCAGAATTTTTTCCTCAGAGTTATGGCTGATTTTGTCATTCCTTTTCCTAAGAAACTTTTCAGAAAAAGATTGCAAAATACAGGAGCTTTGAGTACATGGTTTATCATTATAGCATTATACCAAGGTTTAAGTCTGACCCCTGGCTACTACCTCTTCACTCCAGTGTCCCTCACCACGTAGCAAAACTACACTGGGTTGCTTCACATTTTACTAAACGCACCATAGACGTTAGCACCTCTAGGATCCTGCTAATTTTATTCCCATTCCCTGCAGTGGATTTTGTCGTCTTTTTTAAAATTTATTTTAAAGAGAATAAAAAAATAACAAAATAACAACAACATAGACAAAAAAAAAGCAGAAATAAAAATGATACAGGGTTTCAAAAACAGAATGATAGGAATTAACAGTGGTTGTTATATCATGTATTGTTATCTTCAACAAAGTTGCTCAGATTACTAGATATAAGAATGCAAGACTGATCAAACCATCAAAGAGAATAAAAAATAATAAAAAAAACCATTAGAAACTATACAGAGCTTCACTAAACAAGATGGTAGGAATTCACCAATGGTTGTTATATTGCATATTGTTGTCTTCAAATTAGTTGTTCAGATTACCAGAGATAAGCATGCAAAATTGGTCAAAAAATTTTAAGCATTAATTGTTCCTTTCAATAAACCATTAGATATGGTTAAAGAAGTACTTCTTTAAGGATTCAGGCTATATCTTACTCATCTTTAAGTCTCAGAACAGAAGCTATTACTTACCCAAAATAGGAATAATTTTTAGGCATACACATATAAATTTACTTTTCAAAAGTAATAATATTTACTATTAGAAGTACATTAAATTATTTCAGTAGCATTATTTATTGCAGTTAATGTATTTTAGTCTATTTCTTTAGGATGAATACATTATTTTTCAAATCTGTAGTTTTTAAAACCAATATTGTTCTTAACTATGAGTATTTGAATCATTTGGGAGAGCTTAAAAACTAGTAATGCCCAAATCTATCCCTCAACCAATTAAATCTTTCAGATTGGACCTAGATGTGGTCATTTAAAAAAAAAAAATCTAAAAACTTTCTAAATGATTCTAATGGTGTCTTACTATTGCAACAAAATACCTGACACCCAGTTTGTAGAGGTTCGGTCCATGGTCAGCTGGCTCCATGGCAGGGCAGCATGGCAGAGGAGTCTGGGAGAGGAGAAACAGTCCATGGCAGGGGAGGCAGGAAGCAGCAGCCTTTCTTCTGCTTTTCCTTTTATTCCATCCATTGGATGGTGCCACCCACATGCAGGGTGAGCCTTCCCTTTATCCACACACAGAGCCATGCAAAACCGATCAGTAGACTAATCCAGTTATCACACTCCTTTAACCCATCTTCATGTACCCTAGATCCAGCCAGGTCTGAAAAGCCCCACCTATGGGTGAATGAGGCTTTGTTGCAGGGAGGCATCTAGCTACAAGCCATAACAAATGGGCAATCAGAATTAGGAACCTCCAGTTTATAGAACTCATTTTCTTATTTGAAATATTTATTAAATGCCCTTTTCTGTTTATTAGGTTATTACTATTCTTAAATATGTATGTGTTCTTCATAAAATAAATATATTAACCTCTTGCCATATTTGCTATATTTTATTACTGACTTTTATGTTTCAGTTATTTTACCTTTAACATGCAGCCATTTAAAATTCTTGTTAGGCCACATCATACTATGTTTTTCTGTAACTTTCTTATTGTGCTTCTGGGGATTGATGCCAGGGCCTTGTGCATGCCAGGCACTTGCTGTAGCACTGAATGGTATCCCCAGTAATTCCTTGGTACTTATAAATCTGTTTTGGGACATAAAAGTCCTTATCTTCACAGAGTTGCTTTATAGTTAATTCTATTCAGTTCCAGTTTTTTCCTATAGTTTAATAAAAACAAAACTTTGAAAACTTTATAAGGTGCTCATTTAAATTTCTTCAGCTGTTCAGACTTTAGTTTGCTGAATAAGATGAGCCATGCCTGGTTGCATTGTCTCATTTCAGCACCAACCTGCAGTATATATATATGTGTTTCTGTGTTATAACAAAATTTGTAAAAAAGAAAATCACTCGAAGTAAAGTCTAGGCCAGATTTTGAGGACCTTTTTCTTCTTCCATGCTGTTTTGATTAATCACTCTCTTGGGGAAAAAATCTATTTTGGGAGTATAGAAAGCACATCTTGAACACTTTCCGGCTTCTCCAAGAGTGTAAAGATTCTTGAGAGTCCCTGGCTGTCTTTACTGTCTGACAGGAAGAAGAGCCAGTCTTGATGAATGTGACTATTTTTCCAACTAGACACTTCATATTTGTGATACCTACTGACCTCCTTGGTTCATTCTAAAGCCTCTGGCCCACTTGGCCTTGCAGAATAATAGGCCCTGTTATATAACAAGGGAGCATGTCATGGTTTGTGTCTGTGTGTCCCCCTAAAGCCTCATGCGGTCATGGGGCAGGCTTTTAGAGTTTGATTAATTACGGGTGTGAGAGCTACACCTGCCCTGGGGTGGATAGTTTGCATATGTAAGAGAGAGGAAGAGGCTGCTTGCCGGCATTCCTCCCTTGTGTGCTTGTTGCTTTGCTGTGTTCTGCCTCCATGAGCTGTAACCCTCTGCCATGTGCCACTCTGCCTTGTAACCTGCCAAGTACGGATTGAAACCTCTACAAACTGTAAGCGAAATAAACCTTTCCTTCCTTAATTTTGGGTGTCAAGTATTTTGTCCCAGCAACGAGAGAAAAGTAACCAAGACAGGGCAGTACAGGATCCCTGGATTGGCATAAAGGTATAAGGTATAAAAGTGACTCTGAGCAGAATCCAGTAGAGCAGATTGGAAGCAAAAGTCCGGCCCACAGCAATATCTAGTGATGCTAAAGAGGAAAAGCACTAAAGCATCAAATGGTTGAGAGACATAATTAAGTAGTTGCACATTCAGGGCCATCCCTGGGCTTGGAGAAACAGGAGGGTCAGCCCGATCCAGGGAAGGATGAGAAAGCCACTTTGGAGGGCAGGACTCGGTTGCTCTTTTACTCCTTTGGAATGCTTGTTCAGTCCACACAGACTTTCCTTTGGTTGTTTTCTCTGTCCTTACTGTTAAGTGGAAGACGGGTTGAGCTTCATTTTGTGCTCTTCCACAGGAAACCTATTTTAAAAAATGAAGATTTGAAAAGTTAAAACAAAAATTTCTTGTCATAAAGTGTTTAACATCTTTTGATTCAAAACTGGTACTAGGGTGATTATTTACTTCAGCATTCTTTTATATTTGCTTAAAAGTAGAATTTTCTGTTTTAGGCATATGCATGTATGTCTAGAAGTGCTTTCTGACTAAAATTGGAACATGTGGCTTTAAGATAGTAAAATTAATATTAGCAATAAGTATAATTTGTTGATAAAATCAGGATACCTGTGGGCTTACTTCAAATTTGGCTATCCAGAAATGTTAGACTTTTTCAAAGTAAAATCTTTAAAAAAAATACTGGTGCTGTAATACAGTGGTTGAGTACTTGCTGAGTTTAACCTCCAGCACTGCAAAAGAAACCAACAAAACTTCCTTTTATTTTTTTTTATTTTAAAAATTAAAAAAAACTAACAAAACAATAATGAATACAAAATCAAAACAACACAAAAACAACAAAAATGATTCATGACCTCAAAACAAAATGATGGGAATTAGCAGTGATTGCTACATTTACCTGCTGTTATCTTCAGTGAAGGTACTCTGTCTACCAGACATAAGAATGCAAGATTGATCAAACAATCAAAGACATTAACAAGTAATAAAAAAAGCAACACTGGAAATGATGCAGAGCTTCACCATACAAGAGGGTAGGAGTTCAACAAGGGTTCTTGTACTGCATATTGTTGTTTTCAGGTCAGTCATTCTGATTACCAGATTTAAGTGTGCAAAATTGGTCAAGGAAAAAGAAAATTTTAAGCATTTGCTGTTCCTTTCAATAAACCACAGACATCAGCAATACCACTATTCCAACTATCCTTATATATACATATGTTTTGTTTTTCATTAAAAAAAAACCCAAAATAACAAAAATCCTTTTATTAACTTCTTTATGCTATTTAATGCCAGGCTGCAGATAAAAATTAGAGTAAAGATTGTTCAAGATTTCTGAAGCAGCACAGGTTTAAAATATACAAAATTAGGATTCTTAACTCTGATTCATGATCTTTAATGCCGTGATCTAAATAGCCTATTTTTTCCCCCATTTTGCTGTTAGCTCATTCTGAGGATGTTTTAAAGTATGTGCATTAATTTAAGAACTTTTTTTTTTATAGTCAATCCCTATTCAACAGAGGAAAACAAGTCAACTCACTTCTGGGATTAGATCATCATCCCTCCCTGCGGATTATCTGGTTGAAATTAACAAAATATTACTTACCATGGATGGTGTTGAATTATCCCTTAATGTTCCTGAGCTAAATACCATTGTCTATGAAGATTTCTCTTTTCAGGAAGACTCTCTGAAGGTAAATCTCCAGGCACTGTATTCGAAGAACTACAGTTAATGTAGACAGAAGCAAGACATTTATCCTAAATACTTAGATGGTGTGCATTCTTTACAATTTATGCCAACAAATTAATAATGTATATGAGTAATAAAACTTTGCTGTACTCACCAAAGAAATATAAAGAACAATTTTAATTTTTAAAAGTGATTCTGAATTTTCGTGTATGCATGGATATTAATTATTTGCAATATCAAACTTTTTTATAATCCACCATAAGCAGAGACCATATTCCTGTTTTACAATCTTGATTTTCATTTGTGTATAATACATCTATCAGGCCATCTATAATGATTTAAGATTGTCTGGTGTTGAGGTGTGGAATGACACCTTTGATTGTAAGCTAAAATATTTAATTTTTTTTTGTTTGTTTGTTTTCCAGTACTGGGAATCGAACTCAAGACCTTGTGCTTGCTAGGCAGGCGCTGTGCCACTGAGCTAAATCCCCAGCCCCTAAAATATTTAATTCTTTTAAGTCTTCTCTTACACTTTGATTGTATTTATATAAAGTCATTGCTGGATTCTCTAGATTTCATAACTCACTTTATCATTTAAAGTAGCATTATTAGATATTTGGAAATACAAGTACTTGAAGCACTTCCTGGCCTTAATAAGATGTCATCAAAGTTTTTCATATGTCCTATCGAAAAGCCGCTTTGAACATCAACAAGGACTTTTCTTTCCCTGTTCTTAGTATTACTGCATTCTTCTCTCTTGGGTCAATACATTTTATATATATATATATATTTAAATGTTGCTAGTTTTCATGAGCAACAATAATTATGTTTCATTGCTATCTTAAAACAGTGTTGCCCAGTGTAAATTTTCAGTCTGTGATCCTTTTGTTTTTTTGTTGGATTTTGCTAATGTGTGGCAATGTGTCTTTAGACCATTAAAGACCAACTGGATAGGCTTGGAGAGCAGATCGCAATTGTTCACGAAAAGCAGCCTGATGTCATCCTGGAAGCCTCTGGGCCCGAGGCCATCCAGATCAGGGATATGTTGTCTCAGCTGAATGCCAAGTGGGACAGAGTTAACAGAATGTACAATGATCGGAAAGGGTATGTGCACGCCGATTTCCTTTTTAATTTCCTAAAACATGCCTGCAAGTCCATGGGTCATAGAGATGTTCATGTATACATGACACTCACTGATAGTATGTTTCACATCCTTATAATGTGCTCTGCCTAATACATTGTAATGAGACTAGTTCCTTAAAGAGGAATTGATCACATAGAGGTTGACCATTTATAGCATAGTATCTAAATAATATGGGGATACCTTTAATTGTTACTATCTAAATAATGTCCTATTCTTCAAAATTTTAAAAAAGGATTTTCATTCATGTTCACTTTCTCTACATACTTGATGATTAATATCAGTGAGGGAAAGCGACAGCTACAGATAATTGGAATCCATATATAACCCCAAGTCCTTTTTTGTAGACTTCGGCTTCACAGGATGTTTTTGAGCCTTCTTACTAGATTTTGGCCAGGGTTATTAATAGATACAACTAGAAGCTGGTATGATTTTTGCCAGTCGATCCAAATGTTGTGGGAATGCAAATGAGATATGAAATAGTGTAATATAAAGTAGTATACACAAGGAAATTTAGCAGAATAACACATTGGAAAACTTTAGAGACATAAAAACCAGGCATCATGTTCTTCATCTTTTTAAACAGTTTCAGCCAGTGTATTTCACGTAACTATCCAAGTCCTTGAAAAGATATTTTTCATGGCTTTTCTTTGTATAGATTAAAAAAAATCATCTCTTCTTACATTACAAAAATATCATCTCTTCATACATTTAGAGATTATCTTTTCATGAATACCTTATCCTCATTTATATTTTATCAGGCTTGATTGTTAGAGGAAGACAGATGTGCTGAAGAGTGATAACATTTTAAGGCACGAGGTTACTTCATAAAATTGGTTACTGTATCCCTGCTACTGACAATATTTGCAAATATGTCCTTTTTGAGCCCTGGCTAAAATTGGCCAGGGTGTTTTAAAAGATTGCTGCCAATGTTGTATTGCTAGGTTGCATCTCAATTTTATTTTCATTTCTTTATCAGTGAGACTTGAATATTCTTAAGTATGTATACTGGACCCAGTATTGCTTATTTTTAAATCATGGTATTACTATTTTTTTACTTGTGCTAAAGCCTTTTTCTTCATTAAAGATATTAATCATTTACATTTTTTGTTTATTGCACAAGTAGTCACAGCTTTTCATATGCTGTTTGATTTGGTCATGGTGGTTTTTGAGATATAGAAAATTCACTTTTACCTAACTATGTCTTATAGTATTTTTCCTTGTGATTTTGTTAATTAAAATTGTGAAACAATATGTGTGTACATCACTTTTTCACTGTGAGCATAAATAGGTATATTTTTAAAACAATTTTTGGTGCTTGGTTTGTAATTTACATTTAATGATCTAAACCATCTGATTTTTGTTTGGTTTGGTTTTTGGTGCAGAGTTTGATTATTTAGTTCAGGCTGGCCTTGAACTTGTGTTGTATAGCATGAACAAATGCGGTAGAGTATGCAGGTCTACTTTTTAAACGTTCCTCAGCTAACTTTTGGTGCAGCATATTGAACACTAGTTTGCTTCATTTTCTTAAATGAGAAACCATTTTTTCAGTACTTTATCCTGAATAAACATAACCCTTTTGTCATTGTTATTTCCTTTACCTTAATTTAAAATACTATTTCCAGTTTCCATTTAATTTTGCTTTCTTGTACCAATAATGTTAGTCAACTACTACCGTATTTTCATTTTTAAAGGATTATATTTTTTTCACTCAATAAAGTAAAAATCCATATTCCTTTCCCCACAATTATTCTAAAGTCTATATTGTTTTTCTATGTCTTTTTCTAGTAAAATCTCATCAGTCAATTCATGAACAATGGTCAGTTCAGCATGTAGTCTTTGTTCTATGAACTTGGGCTCTTTTCTGTATGACCTGAGATAAGTCTGGAGCGTTGTTGAAACTTTTCTTATTAGGATTATTACAAAAGAGTCATGTGCTTCTTTTTCTTTGTTTTGGCAGTGTTGGTGTTGCGTTGCTTTTTTCTACACTCTGTGTATGGATGCAAAATCGCTTTTGTTGACCTTTTTTATTATATGGAAGTATTTGTATGCACTGTGAATAGAACAGGTATTCAGTTCTTCTGTTTGCACTTATGCATCTGGCTGCGGTAGAACCTCAAGAAGTGTGTTGATCGGCAGTGTTCACTGCAGACACACGTGGTATTTTCTTGATTGTAAAAATGTTGTTTTAAAAAATAATTAATTCCATGAAAAATTTGAAAATTTTAACAACAAAAATCTTCAAAATTTTAAATCTTCCTTTGTGTAGGAAAAGCCTCTCATATCTTTTATTTTATTATTTTATTTTCTTTGTTTACTTGGTTGTATCTGCCAGAGAGCTGTCTTATTTTAGTAGCCCAAGTGCGTAGAGGCATTGATTGTGCTCTGACTTTTATTTCCAAGTTTTGCTTTGTTTTTCCTCTTCTTACTTTGGGAAGCTACCCTAACACATCTGTTTTGCTCTGCTCTATTTAATCACCTGTCACAAGCAGCAAATGAGGGCTTCCTCCTGCTCTCCCATGCTTTCGATTGAATTCCACGGTACTTCACGGGCCTTGTGCAGAGTTTCAGCATGCCAGGGAGGCCACCACGGTCACTGTCCATCCCAGGTCTCTGAGCTGCTTTGTCTCCTGCCATTCAAGCTGGTTGTTTGCTTCAGAGGAAGAATGGTAGATACCGTGAAAATAAAGCAGCCCCTTTGTCAGAACCTCCTGGGGCTACTTTGTGGTGATTGGAGGTATCCACGTTCATATTTCCAGGAACAGGAAACAGTGCTCTTTTGTCTGGCATATTTCATTCCTTGCACTCAGATATTTCTTTCTTCCTATCCTGAATCCCAGGGCCATTGTGTGTCTTCCTTAAGAAATCTCCACTCAGGTAGTTGCCTTCTTTATGGCATTCCTTACTGGATAAACCAATTCCTAACTTTTCTTGAGTTTAGTAGTTTTTTTTTAACAGTGTTCTCTGTTGGCCTTATTGTTCAGAATAAGTGGGTTTTTTTGGGGGCTCAATTCACACATGTTTAAATTTTTCTTCACTTTCTTTCCTTTTCCTTTTTCTCAGTTATACTCAGAATTCCATCCTCTACCAAGCGTAGTTTCTTTTGTTCATTCCATCAGTGATTCTTTTTACATCATTTAAAAAGCTTTTGCCATTCTCTTTTATTGCAGAAAGAATTCTCCTCTCTGTCTACCTTCCCATCCATTTATTCATGCATCATGAGTTGGATGAAGATTTGTTTGCCTGCTGATGAGAGGCCCATGTAAAGGATTACAAGCGGATATGGTCTCTTTCTCAGGGTGTAAAGATATATGGCATAAAGAAGTAGACATGTTCTTGTTAGACAGTGGACAGGGTTATGGGAAGGACAGTACAGGGGGCCAAGGACCCTGGTAGAACTGGGCAGACTGCTTGGTGCTGTGAAGTTAGTCAGGTGAAGGGACGGGAGGAATTCAGTATTACATAAGGGCATAGCTAAGAGGAGTGCGATGTGTTTGAGCAGAAGTAAATAGTTCAGGAGACCTAGAACTCTCAGCAATGAGATGAAGCCAGGAAGGTGGAAAGGGCTCAAATCAGGACCTGTGTGTTGTGGTAAGCAGTTCATTTTAGTCTGAAGCCAGCAGGGAGCAATTGCAGTATTTTACCAAGGGGCCGACAGTTTATTGATTACAGCATAGATTGCTGGAAGACGAGACTGAGAGACGAGTTGTGACTGTCAGATGATGTCAGCTTGACAAGACAGTAGTTATGGAAGGGACGGCGAGGGGAGAATATGAGGAATAAGTGGTCGGATCTCTAGCCTGGGGCCCTGATGAGGAGCCTGGAGTAGGGAAGGGGGAGGAGTACAAAGCAGCCCCATGTCCCTGGCTTGAGGACCTCTGTAGGTGATGGCACCCATCTTTAGGTGGGGGCGCTGCAGTGAGATGAGAAGACAACAAGGCCAGTTGGGTTGTTAGAGATCACAAACTCTTTTCTAGTTGAGAGCCAAAGAAAGGTTGGGGAGGATTAGCAAGGCTTGAACTTTGGAGGTTCTCTACCGTGTGGAAGTCCACAGGCCTTCATGGTTTGCTGGTGCCTCTCCTCTGTGCAGGCTGGGGTAGAGAGCAGGTGATGGCTTTGCAAAGCTGGCCCGATGACCCCATTTTTGGAACTCTTTTCAATGTAAGCTATAGTTATGCTGCTTAGGCTTGTTTGACACTTAAAGTTCTATTAATAGTGCTACTGATCTTTTCTACGTTTAATGTTTATGTTCTCAAAGCCTTTAGATTTTTGGAGCAACCTTCTTACCAGCATTACCTGTTCAGTATTGTAGTGTCTAAAACACTGGACGTTGTGGTGGTTGTGCGTGTATGGCCTTACCAGTCACACTAAGGTCGCTGCAATACCACCTCAGCGTACTTTGTTTGAAATGTTATTTTCCTCGTGCCCAAAAGCGTGTTACTTCCCTGTGTGCAGTTAACAAATACTAGCTAAATTCTAAACATAATTTCTTATGCAAGAAGGCAGTATAAGCATTAGAGAGATTAGTGATGTCAGTGTGATCATTTAATCATTTTTTAAATAATGAAACTACACTTTTATTATATAAATGAACATTTTATTAATATTATTAGAACTGCAGAGTGTTTTGTTTCGTTTTTGTTTTTATTGTTGTTGTTTGAGACAGGGTCTTGCTATATAGTTCAGACTGGTTTTGAACTCACTATATACCCCAGGCTGGCCTTGAACTCGGTGTAATCCTCCTGCCTCAGCCTTTGGAGTGCAGGATTGCATGTATGCACCACCACACACTGCTTCTGAAGTCTTTTAAACCTCTCCTTTCTCCGCTGCTTTATAAATGAATGAATGAATGATTGAATAGGTGAATAAATAAAATTTCCTTAGGTTCTTATTCAATGAGCCTTTTTCTTTTTCTTCTTATTTTGTGTATTCCAAACATACAAGTACTACAGTATTTTCTTTATCTGTTCTCTGAGAGAGGCTTCAACACAACCTCCACAGCCCTTTATCTCACTGTCTCACCTGTGCTTTGCATAAACTCTGTTCTTGCTGTCTTTAGGTAAATGGGACACTCGTGATTACTCTTTCCATGGAGCACGTTAGACTGCGTGATTCCTATAAGAAGGTGCACAGACTGGGTGGCCTAAACACAGACGTTTATTTCCTCCCAGTTCTGGAGGTTGGAAGTTAAGAGCAAGAAGCAGCAGGATTAGCGTCTGAGGCTTTTCTTCCTGGCTTCCAGACAGCCACCTTCTCGCTGCATTCCTACATGAGCGCGCTCTGCGGTCTCCTGCTCCTCTTGTAGTCCTTTCAGATCAGGGTTCCGCCCTCACTGAATTACTTCCTTAAAAGCCCGTCTCTAAATACACTGTCACCTTGGGGGTTAGGGCTTCAGCACATGAATTGGTAGTGGACAGAACTGAGTTCCTAACACAGAGTCAATAGAGTGCAAGGAAATTTAGAAGTAGTCAGCCCCTTGGAATGTGTATGGGTGTAACAGCATATTTTTTTTCTAAGAAAATAAGTAACTCATGATATCTTTCACCATGTTGAAATGCCTAGTATATAAAGTGGAGTGGTTTAACATGTGCATAACTAGTGAAGCTTTGTTTTGCAAGCCAGAGGAAGCTAAATCTTTTCTCATGAAAAGATGCCCTGGGATATGTGCGCATATGTGTGTGTGTTTGTGTGTGTGCATGTGTGTGTCTGTATATATGTGCACGTACATGTGCCTGGGGAGAGAGTGGGGTGACTGTGTGTGCGGATTGCTTTGCTCTTGACAGGATGCTTGATGAACTCTAGTCTACTGTGAACATTGGTTACAGAGTGATGAGTTGTGGGTTTTACTGCATTTGGAAAATGTTCATTGAAATAAAATTTAAATTTTCTTTTTTGAAAAACATAAATGCTTATAAGCACTCTTGGAGCATTTAGAAACCCATTTGACTTTCTTTTTCCCCTGCAGTCACTTCGACAGGGCCATAGAAGAATGGAGACAGTTCCACTGTGACCTTAATGACCTCACGCAGTGGATAACGGAAGCGGAAGAGATTCTGGTGGATACTTGTGCTCCTGATGGCAGCCTGGATCTGGAGAAGGCCAGGACACATCAGCGGGTGAGTGTGTTTGTCACAGGCAAGTGTGCTGTCAAAGGGACTGCAGGTGTGTTACCGTGAGTCCCTCAAGACAGGTAGCAGAAGTAAGAACCACATGAACTAACTTTTTGGGCGTAGATAGATAATTTGTAATTTTTGGCCTAGTTTTTGGCTTCAGAGGTTTAGGAGAAATTGGTCATGTATAGTCTTCAATAGGGAATTTAAAGAAGTTTAAATAAGAAAATACTGTTTAATGGCTAATGTGAGAAGCAGTTTTATTTTAAAAATTGTTTAAGAACAATTTTCTTATTTTTTTTTTTTTCTCCTGGTACTGGGCAATGGGCCCAGAATCTCACTGACTTACAGTCCCAGCCTTTTTCATTTGTTGTTTTGAAATAGATTCTTGGTAAATCACCCAGGCTGGCTTTGAACTTGAGATTTGCCTGCCTCAGTCTTTCCAATAGCTGAGATTACAAGTATGCACCACCGAGCCGTGCTAACAATTTCCTCTTTTGAAATTTTATATTGAAAGTTATATGTGTAAAATTGTCTACACAAGATCTTACCAAGGCTAGAAAAATATATGCATGCCTTGCCCCTTTTTTATGTCCTTCAGTACATAGGCATCTCATTTTTCATGTACCACAGGAAATTACCATAAAAGTAAGTTATCCTTGAGCTGTGGCAGGGCAGCTGCTCGTGTGAGTTTAGTTCAGTCTAGAAAAATCTAACACAGTAGCCAAATAAATTCTTCTGATAACATTAAGTCTAAAAATAATGATAGGAAGAAAGCAAGATTTCAATTGCACTGATGTTAAAAAATGTTTTTTATTAAAATTTTAAAATGTATTACCTGTAGGGGCCGCATGAGGAATGAAAAGAGAATGCTTTTATTTTTCTCATAAACATGTTAACACATTGTCTGTATGTTGGTTTTTTTTTTTTGTCTGTATGTTTTAGAATTACAGATTGCAGCTTAAATTTGACTTTAAACATCCCTTTAATTTGTTACTTAAAAATTTGTCAGCCAGTGAAACAATGTCTCAATAAAATGCACATTGAGGCTTATTTATGTATGGCCAGACATGAGAATATATGGGAGGAATTTTTTTTTTAAGAGATGCTTTTAAGCACTTGTTTAGAAGAAGATGCACAATTCACGTTAATCAAACATGATTGATGCTTTGGCTTTTATACAAACAACGGTCACTTGTTTTATTTATTTATTTATTTTTGGTCTTTTTGAGAGAGGGTCCCGCTATGCAGTTCAAGCTGGCCTTGAGCTCACGGTGTAACCCAGGCTGGTCTCGAACTCACAACAATCCTCCTGCCTCAGCCTCCCAAGAGCTGGGATTACAAATGTGTGCCATCGTGCCCAATGTCACTTGTTTCATATTTTAGACTGTCCTATTTTCCTTTTTTTTTTGCCTGATGGCATTCAGGAGAGTGGATTTCATTTCAAGATAGAATTCATTCAGTGTGTTGCTCTCTGGAATGTAATTAAGTAATTCTAACAACCCTTTTCCATGAACGTAAAATACCCCTCCAAGAATTTGTTTCTCTGAGGCTTTAATGGATGATACAATATTTGAGTGGGTTTGTGGCGTCGGAACAGTGTCGCCTAGTGGTGAGATGCGTGCTGACTTGTCCTCTGTTGCAGGAACTTGAGGAGGGCATCAGCAGCCACCAGCTCAGCATGGCAGCGGTCAACCGGCTGGGGGATGGGATTGTGCAGAAGCTGCCGCCCGCAGATGGGCGCTTCCTGAGAGACAAGCTGGCGGGTCTGAACAAGCGCTGGAGCGCGGTCCTGGCCCAGGTGAAGGGACAGCAACCCAGGTGAGTCAGTGGCAGTCGCTGGAGGCAGAGTGATGCATTTTGGGTAGAATCTAAGGTACAATCCCATACGTTCAAAGTTCTTTTATCATCTGACATTGTGACAAACGTTGTTTGTGAGACTTGCACCGGTCGTGTTCCTTCCTCATTACGGCTTTTGTTTTGTTTTGTTTTGTTTTTGTTTTTCTTCCGATATCAGGAATCGAACTCACGACCTTTCACTTGCCAGGCAGGTGCTTTGCCGCAGAGCTAAATCCCCAGCCCCTACTATGGTTTTTAAAATTTTCTTCAATTTTACTTTTTGTTAGTTCACATTTACAATACATAATGATGATATTCCTCGTGGGGAGTTGGTCCATGTGCATAACATTTTAGTTGTTTTTTTTTTCATCCTCTTTCCCCCTACCTCCATCTCTTGGTTCCTTTCCGTTTGTAAAAGATCTGTCCCCTAATTCCTGTTATGTGTCTTTTATTTTGCCCTTCATTTATATTTTGGGTTTCTCATGTAAGAGAAATCCTGTGATACGTAGCTTGTGTGTCTGATTTATTTCTCTTAACATTATGGTCTCAAGGTGCATCCGTTTTCCTACAGATGGCTCAAGTTTATCCCTCTTTATACAGAGTAGTGCTCCTCTGTGTGTGAGTAGCGCATTTTCTGTATCCATTCATCTGTTGATGTACTTAGAGGCCACTTCCAAGATTTAACTGTTATGAATTGGGCTTCTGCAAACATGGGTATTTTCAGACTATTCATAAAGTCTCACTTTCCTACTCAGCATATATGTGAAAAAAAGAAGACCTTGATTCTTTTGGTTTCTGTTTATCATGGTGTGACGATGATGGGGATAACTTGATTTAGCTGAAAGAACACGGGACCTCAAGTCTTCACCTGAGTTTAGGGTCAGGTTCCCCCTCACTCATTTCCTGACTGAGTCTGCGTTGGTCTAGGTTGCTCTTGGCATCAAAGGCTCTGCTGCACCTTTATATGCCAGTTCCCTGTAATCATGAAACTTCTCGCCTTTATAATGTAATCAGTATGTTATCATTCATTTTTATTCTGATTATATTAAAATGACCCAGGTTTATGAGGTTGTCTTCAGGTCCAGATACAAAGTGTAGCTACTTTCTAGGGAAAAGGAGGAGCAAAGGTGGGAGGCGTGAGTAGCATGGCTTTGTGAGAGGTTTGTAAGAAATGAGAGGGAGAGGTGGGCTCAGGGGCCCAGGGCAGGACCGGAAGGGGAGGTACCACAGGGACTCTAAACCATACACATGGGTTTGCATGGAGGGGCCTTCTTGCTTGTAATTATCTCACTGCTAGGCTTTCTTGATGAAAAGCATACACTTATGGCTAGGAGGGTATTAACCATAAATGCAGAAATTACCCCTAAAGATTTTTAAACAAAAAAATCTCACTGTGGTGTGTAGTAACTAATGCTCCTAAAGCTAGCAAGGTTACATTAATGCATATTTCACTCATTTTTTGGAAGTGCAATGGGTAATAAACCTCTTCCCCAATAGATTTTGTCTAAAGGCATTTTGTTTTCCTAAATTCATGTCAGACTTCACTTCAGGTTTGTAGCCTATCTTACATGGGGAGCACTGTGGAACTTTGAGAGGTTTATGCATACAGTCATCAGGGTCACTGGGAAGCATCACACAGCTCCATTTGTTTTGGTATTGTGTGTAGCGAACTGCACAATATAGCAACTTATGGTGTTATTCCTTAACGAGCAATTGTTAGCTACTGTTTGAACAGAGTGCATAATGTAGTTTTACTCTTAAGGATAACATTTATAATGTAGATTATATTTAGCCGGTTTGCCAGTGAAAATGTTGGGTGACTCCAAAATGGCTTATTGAAATCACTTGATAATACTACTTGACTTCATACTTCTGTTTTCAAAGTATTAAATTAGTCATGATAATGAAATATTGGAAATTTAAATTCCAATCTTTTTTTGGAAGTGAATAGTTCATATTAATATTTTGCAGGTTTCCAATGTCAGATTCTGTTCAATACAGAAGGAACATTACCTGTTTTAGTATTGACAATCTTAACAGTTTGTTGACTTTACTTATTTTTAATAATATAGTAGTATTTTCTTCTGATGGATACTTGAAAATTGTGGTTTTATAGTGATATTCATTAAGCATCACAATAGTCCCCTTCAAATATTATTGACTCATAAATATGTATTAAGCCTTTTTATATGTATTGCATCATTATGTTAATCCTTTCTTTTATGATTAAAAAGAGGCATATGCATAAAAATGTAAATTGTTGTCAAGGATGACACAATATAATTCATTAAAAAATTACATTCAGTTCTTTAACCAGGACCTAATTATAGCAGTTACAAAAATCATCATGCTGGCTGAGCATGGTGGTGCACACCGGTAATTCCAGCACTCGGGAGGCTGAGGCAGGAGGATCATTGTGAGTTCAACACCAGCCTGCACTACAAAGTGAGCTCAAGGCCAGCCTGAACTGCATAGCCAAATCCTGTCTCAAAAAGACCAAAAAAAAAATCATGATGCCATTAAGCTTTTAGGTTTCAAACCCTTTTAAAATATATATCACCCCCTAGCGCACGGGGAGCCTCGGGCGGGGAGCGCCGGTCTTTGGACCGACGACTCACTCCCGG